CCCCTTTCCACACACACACACACACATACACATACCCCCCCCCCCCTTCCCACACCCCACTCAAGCCGGTTTCTTATATGTTTTAAACCTCCACAAGCTTGCTTTGTAAAGAATATCAGCCCAAGAGATTCGTATTGAAGAACAGCCCAAAAGACTTGTATTACTCTTCTATTTCATAAGAACCTTGCAATTGCAAATGGGGGAGGCCTGCGACCCCCCAGCCCCTCGGCTTTAACATACTTAATCTTGGCTCGTGCAAACTTGCTTTGCAAAGAAGATCATGACACGAAGACAACTTGCATTAAAACAACAAACGAGTCCTTTCGAAACACACCCCTGATTTTTGATTTGATTTGTTTTCAGGTCATGCAAGCTTGGGGGTCCGCGTGCCCCCCAACCCCCTCCCCCCCCCCACCCCCCCTCCGCTGATATGCGTATATATGTACATATGAAGTATGTATGTACATACATATATATATATACATATATGTGTATATATTCTTTGTTTCAATTCCGTGCCATTGCTCAATGAAGAAGGTCATGCCATAAAAGAAGTTGTAGTACAACATACGAATTCCAGCCACCCCGCTTGTTGAAAAATCACGCTTTGCTCGTGTACTCACTGCATTGTACTTGTTTTCTTTCTTTTAATTTACTTCGTTTACATCTTATTGTTATTACACGGGCGTATTAATCAAGATAAGAACAAAGAAGCGCTCGTACAAACAAGTCCTGGATTCACTTCGTTCATAAAGTAAATTCATGCGTTCCTTTCAATTCCTTAATTTCCCTGTGTTGTAATTCACTTACTCTCTTCACTCCACCTGAAGCTCCATCTCTAGCTCCTGTTAATGGTTGATCTGGGGCTGAGTGTTCATGTCGATTTCTGCTGGGGCTGTTTGATGCTTTGGTCGCATGACGGGACGCCAGGGGTTGACGCTGGTACATTTTTTGTCACAGGAATAGAAAACACGAGTCACATCTTGCTGTATCTTGCTGTGTCTTCAGTTGAAATGTGCTATTCCTGCCGCCTGAAAGAGGACTCGATCAGCGCCTCATTCTCGGTAACCTGCACCCATGGCAAACAGACACACGATCAGACAGGGTGTACAGGTCTCCTTACGGAGAATCGAGTGACACACGGGCACACCATCTGCAGGCCAGGGCGCCCTTTGTTGCTGTGAGGCAGCCACGTCCATGCTGAAAAGCTAATGAGGTGTGAGCGGATGTGTGCAACATATGCTGTGCACCCAAACCAAAAACCCATAAGACTTTCGCACAGCTCTCTCAAGAGAGATCTGAACTGCTATGACATGTCATATATATATATATATATACATATAAATGCATACATGTTTAATGTTCTATCTCATTTGCCATGTGTACGTGTCGGCTATTTCTCTCTTGACGCGTGAGTGGGCAATGTAAAGGAGACTGAAGGAAAGCAAAACCGCACCCTCACACACACGCACACACTCACACACACACTCACTCACTTCCTCTCTTCGAAGCTAAAGGGAGGTCTTGTTCACGGAACAGGGAATGGACACGGAGCGATTTGTCCATTTTCCTCGATGCGCTTCCAGATGAAACTGGCGAGGCCCGGACCAATAGCCTTGTCCGGCATGATGCCGAACATGACACGCTACTCACACAATGCTTGCGCAATGATGCGCTTCATTGGAGCCTCCATTCTCGATGTAAACAACATGCATGGCGCGATTATGTATTTAGCTGAATAAGAAACGTATTGGCAGGCAACACCTTGCATTGAGCTAAGCCACCTGCGGGTGCAAAGATCACTTGAAACATCACTGCGCTGTCTGCAACCTGTGCCAATTAAGGGATGAGGGACCTGCTTCTCGACTGTTGCAGGACTGAGTCGCGATGTGATGAGGCAAGCGCTTCTCAAAGGCAGAGGCATGCCGCTGTGCCGTTTCAGCAACAACCTGTCAGCGGCTGGACTTTTGCAACCCTTCGCCTCCCTTCATTTGCCAGCGTCAAGCCTACATGCTTTTCGCACCTTCGGCTCATTTCCAGCCAGTCGTTCTACAACATGTCCATCACGAAGGACCAGGAAGTACGGAACAGCATCCACGCCTCGTAAACAGGGAGAGAAGCAAAAACGCACAAAACTGGCCTTCCTAAATCATGGCATATCACCGACATCACGGATCCACGTGCCGAGGTCCGATATAGGTCCGTAAGTATCCGGCGAAACTCTCGCGCAGCCTCAGGAACGTCCGTGACGTCGACTTGCACCTGGCCAGAAGTGATGATGTGAGCCTCTGCGGGTTGCCTTGAGAGACGCAAGCCCGCTGAAGCTTCGACCATTTTCAGAAAACGTCCTTCGAACTTTGCACTGATCTCCTTGGGCAGGGCACGGGGTCACTCTCATGCCAACAAGATCGAATGACGAGACGACATTGCTCAAACTCAGAAATGTCACAAGCTCTGAAGATTGATCCAGCCCAGTCTCCTCCAAATGTGGCACCAGCATTCTACCTCTGAGCACCAGCTCTCAAAGGGAGCCCAAAGGACGATATGCTGACGACACTTACAATGCCGACACTTCGGGCTTCCCGAAAGAAACATAGCGCCATGTAAATGGCACCCATTTCATGCGCAACTGTTTTCTTCACCTCGTTTGAAACTGCCGGAGTTGTGATCCCCAACGCCTTCAAACTGGCTAAACGTAAAAGCAAACAAGCTTCGGCCGGAGCGCGATTTCGCCCCTGTACGAAAGGCTTCTTCAAACGTTCGAACTGGATAAAGACGACCAAGACGCACACTAGGTTGGAGCCAGAGCACGATTTTGCCCGTTCAGGCTCGGCTTGCAAGGGGAATCTTGTGTTGAAGCCCACCCTTGACCTCTCATGCAATAAAGGCAAACCTTATGTGAAAAGCCACTCCTCTCGATGCTGCGACGTCATGGCCGTTCGACAGCGCTCACGACGCATTTCCCGAATGCGCAGTGTGAAGTCGCAGGCCTCGTGACTATCGTCGTGCTTGGACCGTCGCTCAAAACTGTCGACTTTGCTGACCCTTTCATGGGCCGGGATGCCTTACTGGGCGTCGCTCGCATTTCAGGCCACGCAACGTCAAGCCACAACACATAGCACACCACGTTGTTGGCATGGGGTCTGCTCCGGCAGGACAACTTGTGCTATCCATTCTATGTGTTCTTACAACTATTCTTTGCAAGGCGTCAGCTTTGAAATGTAGGATGCACTGCTCTGACGATTCGCGACTCAACTAAATTTCTAATTTTACGAAGCTTTCCGGTCCATGTTACCAATGTGTGCGAATGGCCAGAGCATCCACGCCCGCGCGATGATAAACGTCACGCGGCAGGGACCCTTGAGGAGTTGAGGTTCAGAACTTAAGGTTGGACCCTAAACCCTCAGCCCAAAACTCTCAAGCTTCGAGACCTGGACACTTAACACTTATACTCAAGCCTGGCGATTTTAAGGTTTTGGCCTTGGCGAGTCTGGACCTGAGACCACAAGATCTCAGAGTGTGCTTGGCTCTGTGAGCTTGTAGGCTTCTGGCCTTGACGGTTTTCGGTTGAGCTGAGATGTTAATGAAGGAGATTTCCATATATGCGCCCTGAAAAACTCATCTATAAGAGTGATGCCCGATAACCCGGCCCTTGTACGTGGTCTTTCCCCTCCCGTTGGTAAAGTCGTAGAGTGCAGAATTCAGCTGAAAAGTAAGAAGAGCCGCCCATGAATGAGACGTTTGCCGGCCAAGCAATTCATGCGCAGGTACACATGTTTGACAGCCTCTATTCCTAGGTGCTTAAAGATGGAAACAGAACCCTGGCAACACTCACTTTCCTGAAAAACGTTATATATATATATAGATATATGTAGATTTATTTATTTATACATATTCGATGTAGTACTCCAAAAACAGCTCATTTGGGGATCTGTGCCCGCTCACCCCTCCTCATAGATGATAGATGCCAACTTGTTTCTTCTTTGGGCAATGCAAATCGACTCGAGGTTTCGTGACTTGGTGCTTTAAGTTTGACAAGCTTCGAGGAGCTCCCTCCTCCTCATGGATGCACAGAATCATGACTTTTTGGAATTTCGAGCCGGCCCAAGATTACATAGTGCCTGCCTCAAGATATTGGAGAATTGAAGCCTGGCTGTGATTTGGCAAATGCATTCTTCGAGATGGCTTGGCACATCCCGAAATCAGAAATGCGATGCTATGTTCCCACTGATTCATCACATATTTGTTTTTCATTAATCATTAAACATCAGGTTCTCCCCTACTTGGCACACTTGACTGATTTATTGGGCTGAATGAACTAACGAAATTAGCTTCAATTTCCACTGACGTATTTCAATTACCACTGGGGCTCCCTTACGAGTTGAAAGTTCGAGAAATGTTCTCATTCCGAGACCCATGTTGCTCGGTCCCCATCGATTTGATGAATTTATCAGCAGCCAGCAACCGAAGTCTCATCCTCCTAACTCAAACCATTGAACTACCATTCCTGCTCCTGTGTGATATTGAAAGTGTTTCAATTAAACAGGACGTGACAAGTCAATCTTAATTTGAATTATTGTAGGCTTCGAGCAGGAGCACACTTTCGGGACGGCAACGAGCCGGAGTAAATTTTCGACCCGCGCCGGAGAACGATCCTTAAAACTTCAATTGTGAGTACCTTCTTGTCGACCTTTGTGACGACAATCAAGCAGCGCTCAGGATAGAAAATAAAAGCTGACAAACCCACGTGATTTGTGCCTACCTACCTCGCGGAACAAGTGAAAAACAAGAGGTAGTCACAAGTGCCATTCCAGGTGACGTCAGCCAGTATAAGGGTGTTGAAACTACAAGTTGACAGATTGACACAATTCCGGAGGTACTCGTATTTGCGCGCGTCCCAGCGTGCTCCGTGCGCATGTAAACATATGTAAACACCTGCCCCGCATGTGCAAAACGATCGGCGCGATGCAAAGGCAGTCCGAGCTCAGAGCCTTTAGGCCAGCCTGGAATCCCCCAACGCTACACGCTTCCACCTAAAATACCTAAATCCCATCCCTTTCTGCCAGAGGCTGCGGCAGGGTTGGCACCAGGACGCCGTAAAGATGGCCAAGACTGGAGCTGCCTTGTGACATCCACTGACTGAGCACCACAATGCGAGGACGATCCAGAAGGGCCTTCAACGCAGCGAGGTCCTGTACTTCACGCACGGAGGCCTGAGACTGAAACACATCTTGCTTGTTTGAAGTTCTCTCCCCGGCAAGAAATGAAGTGCCAGAGGCACACAATGCTGAAGGAAACGTTGGGTCTTCATGTGTCTAGTGGGAAAGAAACTGTACACGCAATTGGGGGACCACTGGGTGAACTCTTTGAACACATGCGGAAGCACAATGTTCTACCGCGAGGCCAGTGTTACAAAACAAACAAGGTCCAGTGTCCCACCAACATAGTTGGGGGGAACTCAAGTTCTGACATGCCCTGTTCAGCTGTTGGGAGCTTGCGCACAATGGAGCTGGCCCTAAGTCGGGGCCAGTCCATGCCTTTGCAACGCCTTGCAAACCACATGCCCAGGCCTCTCTGTGTCTGTTCGAGATCTCAAGGACGGGGGACGGCTGGCGGGTATGTCAAACTGACCAAATAACAGGATTGAAATTTGAAAAGCCGCAATGTTAGAAACTGTCATTGCATATTTAGCAAACAAGAATCTTTGAAAACGGCCTTCAGTTTGAGCTTGCAGCTCCCTATATCCCGGCATCCTGCAAGCTGGAGGAGTCTGCCCAACCGCTTACCATTTCAAATCCTCAATCCTGAAATGAAGGTCTTCAGAGCCAGTACCCCACAGCAGACACTCTCTCTGTCTGTGTCTGTTTCTCAAATTTTCATTTTTCTAGTCGACACTTTTGGGGTGTAAGTTCTGGCTTCGACTCTCATCTAGACTTCGGATATGGGCGGCTCGGATGTTTCTTTTGGAAATATGGCCGAAGCTGTATGTACTGCCAGGCAGATGGCTTTCGACATGGTAAGTTGTGTCATTCCATGCTTGTCTCGTTGCATGATCTATATGCGTGCTCTACGCAATGCAAACACATGTGCGTCGAACTTCAGTTGTGCCTCGTGAAAAGCAGCTGTTGCAACCAATCTATTTCCCAAATATGTCCCTACTCTTGTTTGCCCCATTTTCACTCTGCTTCGGGCATTCGCAGGTAATTCCAGACCAGCTAGTTTGTCAAGATTTCAAGCTGTGACTTTCTTGCAGGAAATTTTTGGCAGCCTAGTTGCGTGAAGCTGGCTTGCAGATTTGCTTTCACCTCTATACTGGCAACGCCTGACAGATTGAGAACGGCACCAGACTCAACCAGATTTATGTTCAACCCTCTCATGCATGCCATGCTTTTTCAGCTTCCCTGTACAGAACCAGTCCTTGAATCAGGCCATGCATACGTAGGTATTCGTGGAGAGATACTTTTGGGGTAGTCTGCGGCCCATTTACTCTTGCCTTGAAACAGGCCCTGCCCCCCCACCCCCTGCGACATACATAACCGAAGAGTGGGTTCTGCGACACCCCCGTGACAACCCCCCCTACGCCCCCCCACGACGCGACAAGGCATTGATCAATGCCTAAAATCTGAAACTCGATGGCCGTGTGACAAGGGCTTGAAACAAGATGGGCTTGCATCGCCAGGGGGCCCCGAGACAGGGGGCTTCTGGCTCATGAGACTGCGTGTTGCCCCCGACTCAGCAATGCTGTCAACAGCCACATTACCTCACAAAGATCGACATTGCCAAGTTCGAAGCCGCATGTCCAATACTTCTTCGAAGCGGAGTAGGCCTTCTGAATATTCCAGCAACCTCGAAGACTCGACACTTCAGTCAGAAAGAACTTTAGAGAGAGAGAGAGAGAGAGACAGACGGGGAGGGAGGGAGAGAGAGAGAGAGAGAGATGCAGCGGCGAGAGCCAGAGCGAGGACGAACAACGCTGCCTGCAATCTCAGCTGTGGAGCACGAGCTATCGCCATGACCACCAAGCTGGCGAGTTGCTTAAGCGCAAGCAAGCGAATTGCGAATGGTTCACTGCTTAAGATGACGAGTCCGCAACAGGTTGTGATTGGACAAGCACGATCGGCCGCGCTTCTCTGAAAATTTGTCGTGACGGCTGCTTCTCGGTTTGCAATCCTAATGCTGTAGCTGAAGGGCCAAGAAGGTGGAGCGGCAGACGGTTGATGACGGTTGCAAACATCCAACTGCAGAGACTCTCAACGACGAACACCTTGCCAAAGGCCGCAGCTATGCCCTTCTTTCTCCCCGAAGCCGGCGCTCCATCATGCCACACAAGCTTCTTTAGTGGTGGCAAGCACGAGGGTGCAAACCACATTCAGAAGGATATTCGCACTCGCCTCCACCGGCTAAAGGCCAAATAAGGCCACATCAGAAGTCCAAGACAAAGCGTTTCAGCGATTTGCCAACTGTGGATGGAGATGGTCTCCCCACCACCATGTAGAGCTC